GGAAAAATACAAGGACTAGAAGACTTAAACAAATTAGCGTCCATTGAAATAATTTATCTAAACGTAACCTGCGGGGGTTCACATTCATCTCACACCCGTCTCTTATACTCATTTTTAAACATAATTTTGAAAAAATTGAAAAACAATTTACGAAAAAAAAACCCCATACTTAATACTACTAATAGCCAACTAACTTTATACTTTACATAATAAACTGATGCATACATTTATTTTAAATTCTAATATATGATATATTTAGTATTTATATAGAATATATTTTTTTTCAAGAGTTTAAATTTATCAAAAGTTTATTTTTATTAAAATGTAAATTGATGTAACAGCAATTTTTCTGAAAAAGAAAATCGGACTGGGAAGGTACTTTAAGGAGGTCATTTTTTGATTTTCCTAACATAGTTTCCCCAATAAATTGGAAAAACAAGGAAAAACAGGAAAATGTACGAAATGTAAGTATTGGTTAAAAAATATCGCGGCCTTTATTTTCACAAATATATTGATCAATTTTTGTTATTGTATCAAATGGCGATAATCTCGTTTAAAATATTAATTATTATGCACTAAAGGTAAGTACTTTTCTAGACCGATGAAAACCAAGGGCAATACGATTGAATTGTTTTTTTGTTATGCAGAATATTAATGCAGAAACATTGCAACTTTTTATCACACGGATTTCTGATTACATATTTTTTATACTGTGTAGGCACGCATATTAATCATTGTTATTTGTTTTGGTTTTCTTCGAAACCGAACATTTTGTTTTTACAAACCTTGACAAACGATCGAGTCAGAGAAAGCCGGATTCGATCGAGCCGGGATTTCCAAACGTCAACCTTTTCACAGCCCTCTCTTTTTGCAACGCTAATAACTTTTTTTGATTTTCTTTATAAACGAAAATCTTTTTATATGTTTTACAAACGTAATTTAAAATAATAATACATTATTATTTTACGATTTAAAGAGGGGTTCAGAGAAAATGGACATATATCCGAGTACATCATAATAGTATACTGTACAAATACGTACGGTACGAGAAAAATACGACTTTTCGGACATCTGGTTCGTGACAGGTCAACTATATTAGTATTATAATAATAATACACACTCTCCTTTTGCCATGGAATGCATAAATACACGACCGGTCTAAGTTTTTATTTAATTTTTATTGCTACTGTTTGTTATGTCTCTATAGTATTATTATTATTATTATACTGAGTGTGTCTCCGACGTTAGTCTATACGTCATGCTGCACACACATACTATCCGCGCGTTCTATAATACGGTCTCCGGGATTTAAACCGATCGAAAGACACGTACAGGCGATAACAATATTAAAAAAAAAAAACCAATACACGCTCGTAACATCGATGGGCGTCGATCGTAAATCGCGTAGTGGTATAGCGAGGTAGTAAAGTCGTCTGGAAACTTATCTCGTGTCCACATAATATATTGAGAAAATTGTATCGAGAGAAAAAAAAACAGTCTGTGTATAAAACAGACTTTTGATTTATCATCGAACGCCGCGGTAACTATACGTCGCACACGACTTTACCACACTCACGTATAGCTTATAACGAACAGAGATAACACCACGCGTTATAGATACAGTAGCGCTTACTATAGTAGTTAAAAAAAATATAACATGTTTAAATCAACAGGGAAAAAATAAATAGTATAATATTATCCATTCATAATAATAATACAATCACTTTTTTTTCGCAGATAACGATATTGAATACAAATTTTGCATATTTTAGTTCTAAAATTAATTCATTACAAGAGTTCCCTGCTGCAGTAAGTAAATTTTAGATTCCAAGCATAACAAAGGAGCCATAGGTTTTAAAAAATGTACGGTTAGTAAAATGTTTCGATTTTTTTATGCCATAAATAAAAGATGCAATTTTTTTTGTCTGATGGTACTTTATTTTTTTCAAAAAATTAATTATTAATTGTGTAAATGTTTCAATTTTTTTTCACGCAGTATTTTAAGGTTATTTCTGACCGATGCAATAGTACTTTATTTTAAATATTTATCGACATTTTCTGCAGTAACTAACCAAAAACCCAACTTCAACAGTGAACATTGAACAGTATCTATTTTTTTTATGATTTTTTTTTACCGTACTTTATTATATACAAAATTTAAATTTTATCAAAATTATATCAATTCTCAGTGAGGTGAAATATTATTTTCTAAATGAAATCGATTCATTGTGGTATATATAAAATATAAGGCAATTAATTATTAATTAGAACGAACTATGTATAGATAAATTTTTTTAAATCTTCGTAGAATTTATCGCATTAATAATATGTATGATTAATTTTTTAATGCGCACATAAATGTAATTAGGAATTTTGAAATATCAATATAAATTATTACATCTCAACAATTAGACTTACAACTTAAGTTCATTTATAAAACTCATAGTTCATTAAATTTTAAAACCAGTTTGAAGTACAAAATTGACTGCATATTTGATCATTATTTCATTATTGGAAGAAAGGGCATCGGTATAAGAACAATTTACGTGAATAATGGGGAGGGGGAGAGGTTGAAATGGTTTTTTGTTATTTATATAAGAATTAATATAAATATGAGATATCTATTACCAAACATAAATAAATAATGTACAATTTTTATAGCATAAAATATTTGTTTAATTTAGCTTATAAATTACTAGCTGTATTACCCGGCTTCGCTTGTGGACATTTTGGTAACGTAAAATATTTTTAATATTATTTTATATTTCACCAGTTTTTTTTTTTCATCCATGTTACTAACCTTTATATTTATTTTTATTTCATCCGTGTTACTACGGTAATCCCCAACAATAAATAAATAAAATCTTTATATACTTTTATGTGCGTATTTGTCGATTATTTTAAAAATTAATAATTTGATTGTTAATACATATTGGCGATGAATAATTATTATTAATTAATCAACTTAAACGCAATATTTTAAAACCTTTTCGTATTGCACGTTTAGAGGATAAGAAAAACCTCTATTCCAAATTTCAAATTCATAGGTTATGTAGTTTTTGAAATATAGCGATCAATGAGTGAGCGGTATTTGGCTGTTGTATACAGAGTGTAACAGAACAATTTGACATTTTTACATTATAGTTACAAATAATAATGTTAAATAGTCAGTTATACTCTGTATATAGATAATACTGAATTAGAGAACAAAATCAAATTTACGGGGTTTTTTAGCCAGCTTTTAGAGGCTTTGTAAATGTGTTGCGGTGATGTGGTAGTCGGTGAAAAGTATTGGTTAGATCTGGTATCATTCGAGGTTACAATTAAAATCAATTAATACCGTTCTACACAACTGACAAAAAAATCAAAATTGTTTTTAGAAACTTACTTATTTATAATAAGTGGGTTTATAGGTAATAAGGTATTTCTCATAGTGTCATTTGATATGGATCAAGAAAGTAGAAATGCATGTACAATTATGTAAAATCAATAAAAATTTTAATAGTCAATGTGGTGGGAGGGTTTGAACCTCCTAAACACCCCCCTTGGCACGTTCATAAATGCACACAAGTCAATATTTAACAAATCTATTCATTGTAAAATTGTAAACATGTGGCAATAAAAACTAAACGATTGGTGCTGTAAGTGGTAGGTATATCCGCGTTTTAGGAGATTGAATTTTGGGCGAAATAAATACGAAGAAAAAGAAATTTAAAATTCCCTATCATTTTCGTGTTGACTGTTAAATATTTTATAACATCATAATAGTATAAAAATGCCGATCTAGGCCATCCGTGTCCGAGCCTATGTCTGTGCTATCCCCGTATTTGATATTGTATCTAAGTCCGTCCAAATCTCAAAATTTGGCACAAGGCGGACACAGATACAAATCTCCTAAAACTGTTTTTTTTTTTTTTATACTACTGCCATAGGGCCAATAGTTATAGAGGTAAAAATCTATTTAATTGATGTAATCTAGTTTTAAAAATCTGTAACTAATTTAATCGTCTCTGAATCGCGTAAGTGGATTCCAGAATCTATTTTTTAGTAACGAAATAAAATATAAGAGAAAACCATAGTATAATTATTTATTGTATAAGCCTGGTCATTTTTAAACGAAAAGTCTATTCACCATCATCATTCTATAATACCAATAATACCATCATAGTCATTAACAACTGAAAAGTTTAAATTATAATTTATATAATATATTATAATAAAATGTTCGTATTATATTTCATTTTTTTTTTTTTATTTTCATACAGAACCGTCGAGTGAAAACTGACGGGGGCGCAATCAAGACCACTACGTCGTATAATAGTCGTCATCGTTTTGGATGGGTGAGCAAAAACACACGTCGAGCAGCACGCTAAAGCTATAAGTATATGTTTGTGTGTTGAACGAATTAAAAAAAATTAAAATATGTACCGCTGTACTTCGGTAAACCGTAGCGAATATTATAATCACCTATCACGTGTCGAAGAGTCGTGAAAACGGTGCGGTAGGGAGTGAGAGGGAGGTGTGGAATATGCAATCAGCCTTAGAGCTGGAAATAAAATTAAAAACGCGGTGTGGTTTAGCCGAAGCAAATCGTACCTTTATTATTAAGTACCCCCGATGACGACGATAATTCGGATCGATATGTGATATAGAAAAAAAAAAAAAAAAAAAATACCATTTCCACCTCGACGCTCTGTTTGAACTTATTATCATATACATAATGGTATACTTGTTTGTATATACCCATTACACGACGATAAATTAAGTTGCAGCGGAAGCCATTGAAATTAATCGAAAAGAGGAACGACTAACTACTATTGTACGAATAATAAGGGACGAAGCCTTCGATAAATCCATTTCGGCCGCGTAATGTTTCGTGTCACTTTTGTTTGCCCCGTGCAAACGACTTCAGACCCGCGCCCGACCCGACCCCGTACCCGGTAACCACCCCTGTTATACCTACTTATATGCCGGGGTAGTTTTGGCGCGCACGCGTGTGTGTTTTATATTATTATCTGCCGTGCGGTACCCATTATATTATCCGTGGTGACCCGTAACCAGGACGGGGTATCGCGTCAGAAGCCGTCGCCGAAAATGTATACCGAGTCAATGTCAATACCGTGAAAAATACATAGAGCGAAATTGGTTTTTAACAGCGAAATAAAAATAGTTTTCCTGTGCTCTGAAATGCTAACACGTTCAATTTTGGGATGGTCGAATTACCCATTTTACCCAAATTAGATGTTCGAACTACACTTCAAAGATACAAAAAGTTTTGAAAACGCTAATTTCCCATCCTACTTACACTACTGAAAATGAATTTAGTCGTTTACGTGGATAAAAATGAGTGTTATTTATTTAAAAGTATATTTATGTAAGTGTAAAAAGCGTTTTTTGAATTTTTATTATTTTCTAGAAATTAATGCGTTATAATTTAATTTAATATCAATTAAGTTAATTATAACGAGTTACTTTTCAATGTAAAAACTTGATTGAGGTAGGTAATATTTTCAATTTCGTTTCATTTTTTTCTGGTATCATGTTGAAAGTCTTGTACCTACATTGTACATTAAAATATGTATAACTATTTGTGATTGTATACAAATCAAGAAAAATGAGTTTTAAACATTTTAAATTAAGTTTATTTTTTCGGACATTTTCGTTGAAACTCATTTCTTAACCCGAGTGCAGTTCGATCATTATCTGTTTTTAAACCTAACGCAGTTTAATAACTATAGTCAATAATAATAATAGTTTATTTTAGCAGTATTGATGTTTTCAAAATTGGGACACATATATTAATATTCTACTGCACCGTCTATCACTAATAAACGTTTGGTCAGTTATTGTCTGTCTCCCGCTTACACCACAGTTATCAGCTGGATTTTTCATTTTAAATGTTATTAATTATTTCGACCATATGTCTTTTCGACGTAAATCCTCTTAAAATGACCCGTTTAATAAAATACATATACACGCCATCTTGCATGACACGCACCGCAGAAAGGATTTTAAATCCGTGCACACGCTTTCTCTGGTTTTTGTACATTTACGTGCACACGTCGTATTTGATTTTAGAAATGACGCGTTTTGTCCCGGCGATTTCGTGATTCAACAACGGGAAATTACTCAGGAGCTCTTTAATTTCCTTTACGGAAGTTTATATATTAGTTTCTTTTATTCCAATTGTTTTTCCTCCTTCTCCTTCTTCTCGAATTTTCCCGTGGCGCGAGCAATGTTTTCCCAACCCATTCAATATGGACACTCGGCTGAGATTTACCGCATTAAAAGTTTTTCAGCGTGGTTCTCCGTCATCAACTGTTATTAACTTGTTCCATTACAACATTTTATTAATTTTAACAATATTATTATTGTTTGTGTAAGTATAAGTAGTATAACAAAAAAAAAAAAAAATGCATTAATTTATTTAATTTATATTATTACTAAAAATTATTTTATCGAGAAAATGTAATAATTATTGTTTTAAATAATAGTAATTTATTCTACTAAACATTAATTAATATTACCATAATTAATTAACTATACCTATCAGTAGCGTATTTAGAATTTTGCCAATAAGAGAGGTTAGGAAGCTAAAAAAAAAACTAAAATTATTATTTTAATTGTTTTCTAAGTAATTTATAATTCAACCTGCCCTAACATTTTGATTAAAATTATATTTTACAAACTCAGAAAGTTGACTTGAACTTATTAACTTTTAAAGTTGTAGAAAGTATAAATATTACGTTTGATTGACTCAGTTTAAATGTTTTATTTTGGGGTACTGAGAGATGATGGGACATTGCAACCGCATTCTTTTTTCCCCCGTGGACGTCTGAATGAAATCAAGTGAATTCACCACGACTGTTCTCATTTTTTGTATGTACAATATACATACAGTCATACATATATGTATATACTTTTTAATATTCAGCTGAATGCATTACATATAAGAAAAAGTTATTTTCGAATACCTACTACACTTAACGATTATTCTGAAATGAGATTGATAAACAAACAAAAAATACGTGTCTTACTGTAGATAATAAAAAATATTGAAATGTTATATTACGGAGAGCGATTTTGCAAAGTTTTCTTTTAGATCCCCGGTGTAACGAAGAAGCTGTTTGAAATTGTTTTAACGATTTTTTTTTTTTTAGAAAAAATGAAAATAATTTATGATATGTCAGTTTTAGAAAAAAATCTACAGAACTCTGTACAACAAGACACTACTACTTTTATTCGAAAATGACTTTTTGATAGTTCCGAATAACGATATAAATGCTATATGATTTGGTGCAATAATAGTACGTAAGTTCGTATAATAGATACGCAAAAAACACTTGTTTTATGATGGGTTGTCTGCCGGAAGCAATAATGAATAAGAGATAGCTAGCTTGCGTAATCGCGTTGGCATCACTCGTTTTTCGTTTCCGGGCCGGTTTTCTACTTTACGCAATTAAATATTATTGATAACTTACCATTAAGACGGTGCAACAGTGTTCCCCGAATAGGGAGGGGAGGGTTGAACAGATGAATGGAGTAAACAAATTACTGGAGAGATGCAAGCAGTCATCACGAAGTAAAATTTGTATTTCTTAAATTAATTGTATTTTACAACGTAGGGAAAAAAATAAATAATAATGACCATATTTGATAGAGGTGACAGGGAGCAGTTTCGAATTTTTGAATTAACAGTTTAATTAATTGTAAATTAATTAATTGTTAATTTAATTGTAAAAATTGTTAAGATTTGATGACCTTTTTTTTTCTCATCGTGTTTGTTAAAATAGGGGCGAAATATTTTTAAAAACCTACAAAAGGAGCGTAGAAAAAAAGAAATTGGGAATCACTGCGTTTCAAATTATTCTCTGATTGGTCCACACTGAAATCCATCAAGGAATTAAGCAAAGAAATAGGCCATGTTCTATGGTAAAATCTAACACGCAATCTCGCAGCGGACCAATCAAGGTATCTATCACAGTTCTCAACAGGCGAAACAAAATACCACTAAACACAAGCATTGTTGTTGCAGGACAAGACGAAAACCAGTCCACGGATTACTTGAAGTAACTGTTAGCTAGACTATAGTACTTGTACACGTGTTTAATTAAACATACTTTTTTTATAATAAACGATTCATGCGATTATTTCCAGACCTAACCTATACATTAGAACATATCAAAACACTATAGAAGGTGATTTTTTTTTTACCGAACGATTTCGAAAATAGACTTGTCTTGTTGCTGCACTGAATTCTATTATTATTTCATTTAATATTTAACTTTTTTTTTTATTTACGAGTTTTTTATTGGTTAAACAGAAAAAAAGCTGACTACAGTGAATCAGAAACGTATTTTATTTCCGATTTGTCCAACTATCCGTCAACTATAGTATATTATATTTTTTATTTTTGTGTAATCTTCATTTGATCAATCGTATACTGTTCCTATCGTATCTATCTAATCAATAGTTTAAAATAATACTTTAATTTATGTCTGAGTATAATATGTATACAGGGTGATCGATATAACGCAAGACACTTATTATCTGGGGACGTATTAACTTTTTTCGGAATTTGTTTTTTAGAGCGTTTTAGAAATAAGTAGCTCTTAAACTTTGCACTACTTTTGTTTCTTTCACCATTATTTTAGAAGGTTAAACTATTACCCGATTTTGGTTTTTAAACGGCAACCTATATAAAAAAAATGCCATGGATAGATGGAGTGTTAGCCATTAATCAATTTTAGTGTTGCGAATTTTACATTCCGTCAATCCATTGACGAGACATTCCACTTTTAAGATTTGGCGGATTAGAATAAAAATGCATCATTTGTGTGGTGACATGGCACGCGGCTGCGTTATAATAGTATTCCGCTACTCGACCGGTATCTAAACTTAAAAGTATTATATCTAGTCAATGGATTGACGGAAATCAATAATGTAAACATCAAAATATATTCAAATTAAAATACCATTTTTTTATGAATTTTAGTATTGATCGCCGCATGAAAAATAAAAGTAAATAGTGGAATCATTTCTTAAAATGTGAGTGACAAAAAATAATCGGATAGCAATACTTTAGTGCTAATTTTTTCTTGAATATGCTAAAAAACAAATTTCGAAAAAAATCTAATTCTTTCCGAGATAATGAGCGTCTTGCGTTATGCTGATCGCCCTGTATACGTTTTTATTACGGCACATTCTATACAGTGTAATAGCTTGCACTCCGGGTGGAAAAAACTTCTATAACGATTTAAATGCGTTTAAAAAATACAGTATAATATTTCCATATACAACATATTATAATATTTTAACGATATTAGTACCGCGCGCGGCTTATACCGACGATACGTATACGAAAATGAAAACCAGTCGGATCTACATATTATATAAAACGAGTGCATAATAATCATTTTAATGTCATATTATATGGATCAGAAATAACGGCAGATTTTGCCGTATTGTTTTCGCGACGGCGGCGTACCCGTCATTATTGTTTTTCCCGCGTCACTTATCACATTATAGATTCCATGCATCGCATAGTCGCATGGTAAGTATGTGTGTGGAATCGATTAAAAAACCGTTTGAGAGGAACACTGCGGTAGTTTTTGTGCGTGCGCGCGTCGGTATATGGTAGCAATAATAATAATAATAATAATAATAAGGTTTCCGATTGATTGGTAAAGTCATAACCCCGGTGGAGTCTCTCTAAAGGTACGTATAAATTATTACATAATAGCGGTTCTAGAGACTGCACCGGGACGGCAGCCAGGAAAAACCGTCCCGCGATTCCCCGACCGCCGAACGACGAGGGGCCACACATACGCGTCCTTTTGTCCCGCGGTACAGCAGCATCTATGTATGCCTACGAAACAATAAGAGTATAAAAAAAGATATACAGGCAGGTACGGCGGGACGAACGTTTAAAAAACCATTATTCATTGTCTTATTATTACGATTGTTGTGAAATGACGATTGTTTGAGGAGCTCTATACCTATATACTCGTACCTACCTGTGCTTATAATGTATATGACGAGAGCGTTTCTTCATCAATTAGATTCATATTCATCGTATTATGCGTGCAGAGAAATAATCGGACCAGATCCAACCGTCGCGGCGCATTGTCAACACAGGAGAAGACGAAAATTACAATGTTGCATATGATATGCAGGTAGGTAGTATTTAAGTAGGTACCCACTATAAGTGTGAAGTTTGTAATTAAATTGCCGATGGGAATATTTTTATTATGTTCT